CCGGCCTGTTTGAAATGAATAAAACTAAAAAAAAAAAGACCGTACCCTTTTATGTAATGATGTTTACTTTGAATTTATATTAGTTCACACAAACACTCCATCCATGCTTTTGTTCCGGCCCTCCGGTCCAGTTTAAGAACCCACTGTGGCCCTCGAGTCAAAAAGTTTGCCCACCCCTGGTAGACACTCCCAGACGGGAACCTCCGTGGCCAGCAGATGTCAGCAGGAGGCATAAGCCACCCTGTCCTGCTGCTTTCCCTGGTCCTGACCTCCCTTCCCCTGTGCCCTCTGGATGCTGTGCACAGCCTCCCCCTGGCAGGGTGGGGCGAGGGAGGGGAATGACTATCCTGGTCCTTGGTCCTCCACTACCCCCCCACACACACACACCTTCCCTCATCCAGCGGTGTCAGCTGAGCCCCCTCCTGTACACCAGGCTGGTGGGCTCGCCACCCGGGCAGAGCTGAGTGTGTGTGGCAGGAAGGAAGGACGAGGAGGGGGCAGAAGGGGTGGGAGTGAGGGGCTGAGGGGCCAGGGCAGCCTTGGCTGGTGTCCCCCTGGGCCACTGTTGCCCAGGCCCTGGGGAGGGGGAGCGAACACACACGGACACACCTTCGGAGGAGATCTCGATGGGCTCCACCCAGGAGTGCGGCATGTCGAAGCCCTTATCCTCATCCTCCTTGCCCTGTTGGGAGAGGCGGGGCGGGGTCAGAAGTGATAGGCAGAGCCTCTGCCTTGCCTGCCCCCCGCCCCCCTTGACCAGGGGTCCTCAAACTTTTTAAACAGGGGGCCAGTTCACTGTCCCTCAGACCGTTGGAGGGCCGGACTATAGTTTAAAAAAAAACTATGAACAAATTCCTATGCACACAGCGGCGGCAAAAACACCTGGCGGGCCGGATAAATGTTTTCGGAGGGCCGCATGTGGCCTGCGGGCCGTAGTTTGAGGACCCCTGCCCTTGATCTTGCCCAAGGTCAAGCCAGGGTGGCGTGTCAGCTCCCCTAGGGAAGCCAGAAGTCAGGGCAGGTCTGACCTGGCCTGGTGTGACCCAAGATAGGGAGGAAGGGGAGCGGCCTGCTCCCGGGGGGCTGGGACCATCCCTGCAGCATCCCTGGGACCATCCTGGCTGGGCAGCAGCACCCCTGCCCTGCACGCCCCCCTGCCCTCGGTGGTCAGAGGCACCAACGTGGCCATGGCCCTTGGTCGAGAGGGGCTTGGAGTCAGGTGGACCCAACAGCAGCTCAGGGGTCCCGGGAAAGTCTTAACCGCTCTGAGCCTCCGTTTCCCAACTGGGGCCTTGGGAGGGTTCAGGGGTAGAAGGCACATAAAGAGCTGGGGACACTGCCTGGCTGTCCTTATTGGCTGGTTCTTTCTCTCTGAGCCTTGATTTTCCCCAACCGTGCAATCAGGCCTGGCCTAGACAAGTGGTCCTCCAACTAGGGCCGTGGTCGGTAAACCGCAGCTCGAGAGCCACATGCGGCTCTTTGGCCTCTTGAGTGTGGCTCTTCCACAAAATACCACGTGCGGGTGCGCACGTACAGTGCGGTTGAAACTTCGTGGCCCATGGGCAGAATTCGGTATTTTGTGGAAGAGCCGGTATTTTGTGGAAGGGCCACACTCAAGGGGCCAAAGAGCCGCATGTGGCTCAAGAGCCGCGGTTTGCCGACCACTGACTAGGGGACCACAGAAACCTGAAAAAGATGTTCTCAATTTAAAGCTTTTCACCCACAAACGTGGCTCAGGCCTTTGCCGCCTGCTCATCTCATCGGGCCACCCCTCACGGACAGCAGGGGGCGCCTGTGCATCGGATTTACTGTCGGGTCCCCAGAGCTGAGGACACTGAATACGCCCAATACAATTTCCCGGGGTGTCTACACTGCTGTGCCTCGCATGTCACACCGATGGTCTCGTTTGTCCTGAAGCAGTTCCAGCAGATGGAACAGAGTCGCCGCGGAGAACCCAGAATACAGAGCCAAGCTGTCACATCCCAGGTTCACATCCCCGCTCTGTCACTTACTGGCTGTGTAACTCTGGGTAAAGTTACTTCAGCCCTCTGCGTGTGAGTCTTCCTATCTGTAAAAGGGGATGGTCACCATCAACGGTAAGACTAGTACCCACCTCTCCCGGTGGTTGCGGAGATTTAGACAAGTTAATTCAGGTTCAGCACCGACGGGCACTTCGTAAGGGCCGTACGAGAGTTACCTATTGCTATGGTAGGATTGCGTCTCCCAGAATCCATATGAACTCGCCCCCAGGACCTCAGAACATGACTATATTGGGAGACAGGACCTTTAAAGGGGTAATTAAGGTAAAATGAGGTCATTAGGGTGCGCCCTAATCCAATCGGACTGGTGTGCTTAGAAGAGGAGGGGATTAGGACATAGGACACACAGAGGGAGGACCCCATGAGGACACGGGGAGACGACAGCCATCCACAAGCCCAGGAGAAGAAACCAACCCTGCTGACACCTTGGTCTTGGACTTCCAGCCTCCAGAACTGTGAGGCAATACATTTCTCTTGTTTAAGCCCTGCAGCCTGTGGTACTTGGTTATGGCTGCTCTAGCCAATGAATGCACCTATTATTAGTTCCATGACTATAACTGACCCATTGACCCCACACCTCCACTTGACATACGGAGGATGAAACTGAAGCTTGCAGTGGTCAGGGAGTTCGCCCAAGGTGTCACAGCCAACCCCCAAGGCCTCTGGGCCCCTGACCTCACACACAGGCCTTCCTGCCGATCTTCCCGGAGGACTAGGAGATCAGAGGAGGGATGCTGGCGGCTGGGGGAAGGCCCGAGGTGAGTGACCTTCAGAAGGACTAATAGGACGGACAAGAAAGGCCTAGCAGTGCTTGGGGGAGGTCACAGTGGCTCTGCAGGAAGGCCCAGAAGTGAGGGGCTTCCCGGGCCTGTGAAGGGGGTCTTAGCAGCCTGCTCCAAGGGCATACTCCCTGAACAGGATCATGTGTGTGTGTGGGTGGGGAGGGGGGGGGGAGGCAGGGACAGGACCTGAATGCAAGTCCCAGCCCTCCCCTACCCCATTGGGTCATTGGATCTGTCTGGGCCTCAGTTTGTCCATCTATAAAATGAGGCCATAATCCAGACCCTTGAGGAACTTATAATCAGTCTATCTGGACTGTCCTCTCCCATACGCATGCATGCTAGCGGGACTTTTGTCAGGCCAGCCTGAACCAAGACCAAGTATGAAGCCCCTCACCTCCCCCTGCCCCCAGCCCCCTAGGCAGGTGAGACTCACCAGGTTTTCTACGTCATCATCATCAACCAGGTTATCATCATCATCATCCAGGATCGATAGGTGAGGCTTATCGGTCCCCAGAAGCAGGTACTCCCACCTCACAGGGTCTCCCAGGTCAAAGATCAAGTCCTGATGGAGGAGGAGACCAGCTGAGCACACCCCACAGCCTTCACGCCCCCCTCCTGCTCCACAGGGCACAGCAGGGACCTGGGCCCCGGGTCAGAGGGGCACAAAGTGGGCTCCGGCAGCCCCTGTGAGTCCATGCCCACCCTCCTCATCTCAACAGGGAAACCGAGGCCCCGAGGGGGGCTGGAACCCCCCTTCTGTTGCTCAGTCTCCCACGAAGAAGTCCCACTGTTGGTCTCTGGGATAGGTCTGGATGTGGGGCGATTCTGCATTGCCTGGGGCGTCCCAGGCAGTGTGCAGAGCAAACACAAGCCAGTGAGAGGTTATGGGAGGGGAGATGGCAGGCTTGTAAAAAGCCCTCCTTAGGGTGTTGCTCACACCAGGGGGAAGGGAAGCAGGCAGGCACACGTGGCATTGCACAGAGGAGGCAGGTGGGGTTTCTCCTCCGTGGCCTGGGTCCCCCACCTCTGTTCATCCCAGTCCACCTGTGCCTAGGCTCACCTGCCAGGTAACTCCCAGCAGGTGGGGAGCACCCCACATCCCAGTCAACCCCCCCAGGGTGGCATGCTGTCCCCAGAATCAGTGTCCCAGAGGGAACTGAGAAGGAAGAAGAGATGGGAGGATGGAGAGATGGGAGGATGTATGTTTGTATGTATGTATATACTAGTATGGATGGATGGATGGATGGATAGGAGGATGGATGCATGAGGTAGTGGGACACAATATGGCTTCCTTGTCTGCCTCCCTTTGGGAGTTGAGTGTCTTCAACTCACGTAAGTGGCTCTGAGGTTATATACTAGTATATCTATATATATAAAAGCCTAAGCAACCGAACGACCGGTTGATTGGTCACTATGATGCGCACCGACCATCAGGGGGCAGATGCTCAATGCAGGAGCTGGCCCTTGGTGGTCAGCACACTCCCACAGCAGGAGCACAGCTCAGCTGATCGACGGGCACCAGACCCTGGGCTCATGGCTGGTGAGCGCTGCTGCAGCAGCACAAGTCTCTCCCACGGCCGTAGCGGCGCTGCCGAGCAGCAGCAGGTACAGAGGGGCTGGGATGAGTGGGAGCGGCTCAGCACCTAGCCTGGGCTTGGGCTCCTCCCAGACCACCAGCCACTTCATGCACTACTACATCCCTCGGGCCAAAACCGGCAGTCCGACATCCCTCCGAGGGGTCCTGGATTGAGAGAGGGCGCAGGCCAGACTGAGGGACCCCACTAGTGCACAAATCCGTGCACCGGGCCTCTAATATATATACACACACACATATATATATCTCCTATATAATAAAAGCCTAATATGCAAATTGACTGAACAGCAGAATGACCGGTCGCTATGATGTGCACTGACCACCAGGGGGCAGACACTTAATGCAGGAGCTACCAACAGGCCCCAGACCAGCCAAGGAGGGTGCCAGCGAAAGGCCCCCCCCTCCCAATAATCTTGCCAGTCGCCCCACAGAGGGAGGTGACTGGTGGCAGTGGGGGGGTGGGGCCGGTGAGCGGTTGGTGCCAGGCCAGCCAAGGTGGGTGCCAGTGGGGGCCCCCGGTCACCCCACAAATGGGCCCTGAATGCCTGCCAGGCCTAGGGACTCTACCTGTGCACGAATTTTGTGCACCGGGCCTCTAGCATATATATATTTATGGAAATTCTTTGAGCTGTACGCTTGGGGTGCATGTATTTTTTCTGCCATGTATGCTGCATTTCAATACAATGTTTTTAAGTCATTCAGACAAACTAACCATCCACATTGTACAGGATACACAGATCGAAAGAGAGACGATCCCAGCAGAAGGGAGTGGGCTCTGGAGACTCAGCTCTGGGGAAAGTCTGCAGCCCTGCAGGCCTGGTGGCCAGCTCTGCCGCAGGTCACCCCCCGCCCCCCACTGCCACACCCACGCAGGCCCCTGCCCAGCACCTTGCAGCAGTTCCAACAGTCCTGCATGTTGACCCAGTAGTTCTTGTGGTTCCACAGGCTCTCGATGCCCAGGAAGTGGTCGTCCTGGGTGCTGTAGCTGCGTGCCGTTAAAGGGTCAATGAAAAAGCTCTCGGGCACCTCGCGCTTCCCCGACAACACCAGCACCCACGAGTGCACCCGCAGGCCGTACAGGGGGTCGGGTTTCGCATTCTCCGCCTCCTGCACAGAACAGGTGGGTGACCATGGGCCACGTGGGTGGGAACGGGGGAGGGGGTCATCTCCCCGGGGCTAGGGAATGGGCAGGAGAGCTGAGTTCTGATCCAGACTGTCCCATTGGCTGGCTGTATGAGAATATCCTCCCACCTTTCAGTCAGTTTTCTTATCAATAAAGTGGGAGGGACTGACTCGATCTGGGGTTTATAAACTGGGCTCTTTGGAGTGCTAGGGTAGCTGGGATTTACTGGCTTCCTGTGTTGTGATTTGTGGTGAGATTTCGTCCAAAGAAAGGTAGTGGGACACAATATGGCTTCCTTGTCTGCCTCCCTTTGGGAGAAGGGTGACTGTGTCATGTTCATTCTTGTATCCCTAGTGCCTAACCAGAGGAGATGCTCCGTAAATACCATATGGGATGAAAGGAAAGAAAGGAGGGAGGAAAGGAGGTGGAAGCAAGGATGGGAGTGTGGATGGGTAGGAGAGATGGAAGGAAGGAAGGAAGGAAGGAAGGAAGGAAGGAAGGAGAGATGGGAGGATGGAGAGATGGGAGGATGTATGTTTGTATGTATGTATGTATATACTAGTATGTATGTATGTATGGATGGATGGATAGGAGGATGGATGCATGAGGGAAAGATGGGAGCATGGATAGAGAGATTGGAGAATAGATGGATGGGAGGATGGGTAGATGGATAGAGAGATGGGAGGATGGATGGAAAGATGGGAGGAATGATGGATAGATGGATGGATGGATGGATGGATGGATGGATGGATGGATGGAGAGATGGATGGATGGGTGGATGGATGAAGAGATGGATGGATAGATGGATGGGTGGGTGGATGGATAGATGGATGGATGGATGGATGGAGAGATGGAGAGATGGGTGGATGGATGAATGGATGGAGAGACGGATGGATGGATGAATAGATGGATGGATGGATAGATGGTTGAGGATGGATGGGAGAGTCTATGTAGGTGAGTCTTTAGTGAGAGAGTCTGGAATGAGGCAGACACCAGAACTGCCCAGGCAGCAGAGCTCTGCCATGAGAAATCTATCACCAGAAGCTGGCTGACCACCAATGGGAGATTCCCAATGGCCAGGCCGAGGTGGTGAGAGGTAGAGGAGGGGATTTGGACCTGGGTGTCCATACACATATCTCTTCCATGACCTGTGTCTTTCCCGTTCCTAGAAACGCCTTCTCAAGAGCTGAGCTCAGGGGTTGAGGACCGAGGACCGTGGACCCACCTGGAGGCGCTCCTCTTCCTCCTTCAGCCGCTTCTCCTCCTCAGCTTTGATCTTTTCCTGCTTCTTCCTCTCCTGGTCCTGCTCGTACCTGCTGGTCAGGTCCCTGGGGGGTTTGACGGCGTACTTCTTAGGTGGCGCCACTTGCTTCCTCTGGACTGTCTGTCACCGAGCAAGAGAAGAACATCAGCAGCCGCGAACCACCACCCATGGGACCAGGAGATCAATCACAGCTGGGCCTGGAGCCTGCGAGCTCTCTCGCTTGCAGCTGCATGACCTTCCGCGTCCCTAACCTCGGGCTCTTCTGTAAATTGGAATGGGAATAACAGAATCTTCTCCCAGGAGTCTTCTGACAAGACAGGGAAATGCCATGGGAGGTGCCCATTAGTCCCGGCACTCGGGAGATGTGGTTTTCTCTCCTCCACAGCTGCCCCCCCCCCGCCCCCGCCTTGATGCCCACATGAGCTGTGATCTGGAGAGTGGGGCAAACTGTCAGGAGTCAGATTTTGCCATTGGAGAGTTTCATATCGTTATTTTATTTATTTTAGAGAGGAAGGGAGGGAGAGAGAGAAACATCAATGATAAGAATCATTGT